CAAACAGCGTGTTTGAACCTATCTCCATACAAAATTCAGCATGAGCCAAAACCCCAATACTGCCGGCTTTAGCCCTGTCAAGACGTGTACCTACACACTAATCTTATTTTTCATAACTTATTAACTTCTCTTTCATAATGCTATGTTTATGTAAAGCTTTCTCACAAATATCCCTACCTTTTTTGCGTTTTTGAGAAAAGTAAAGAGTAAATAATTGAATTTTTTGTCACGCTAAAGAGAAGAGACCTTCTGCAAAACGTGAAACTTAGCTTGGAAGATTTCTCTTCGTATTTTTTANTACCCCCCAAAGAGAATTTGACGTTTATTTCTTTGTTTCGCAGAAGGTCTAAGGACTTTCTTAAAAAAATATTTAATAAAAAATATTTCCAAACTTGTATAAAGCATGCTAATATAGGAAAGTATATTGTGAAGGTAAGAGGATGGATTGTAATTTACTACCACCAGAAAATTTAAAAGAGAGAGCGTTAATAGAAGTAGCAATTGCTCTTTGGACTCGTAATCCTGTTAAAGATAAGATTTTGAGAGTATTTGAGTACCGTTCTGAACGTAACTTGAATGATATAGCTAACCAAGATAAGGTTTACCTGATTTTTGAAAAATAAAATCAATAGCAGCGTTAATATTTGGCGAAAAAATTGGCAGTATTTTTCTGACGGCGTGTTTTATGGCAAACCAAAAATAGACCCCCTGCAAAACGAGGAAAAAAGTAGAAAAACAAAAAAAAGCGTATAAAATGAGAGTTTTAGTGAGAGAAAATGGCAATAAATTATGCAAAAGTGGCAAAAACCCCTTATATTTTCAGACAATTAACGGGTCTAAAAACAGAAGAATTTGAAAAAATCGTGGAAAAAGTGAGGCCGGAGTGGGAAAAAATGGAGGCAAAAAAGAAATGTCACGGAAGAAAATCGCACGTTGAAACACTAGAAGACAAAATATTATGCGTTCTCATTTATTATAGAACGTACATAACACATCCATTTTTGGGATTTTTATTCAAATTGCACAACTCAAATATCTGCCGATTACTGAAGAAAATGGAGCCATTGTTGGCAAAAAAAGTTACCATAAAAAAGGATAGAACCTTAACGCCCGAAAGGATTTTGAAGATTTTAGCAGATGTTACAGAACAGCCGATACAGCGACCAAAAGACAGCAAAAAACGTAAAAAAAGTTACTCTGGCAAAAAGAAAACAACGACCATAAAAACCGAAATTATAATCGAAGAAAGTGGGCAAATCTTGTCGGTTTCAAAGTCGCATCGAGGTCGAATGCACGATTTTCGCATAAGAAAACAGGAGAAAATGCTGCCAAGAGATAGTATAAAACACGCTGATTCCGGCTATCAAGGATGGCAAAAAGTTCAAAGTAATGTAGTAATTCCATATAAAAGGTACCGGAAAAAACCACTAACGGAAGAGCAAAAGGAGCATAATAGAAAGCTGGCGTCGTTCAGGATGCGAGTGGAAAATAAAATTCGCGAGATCAAAATATTCAAAATTATATCAAATGTTTACCGCAATTTTCAGAAGAAATACAACATGAGATTCAATATTATTGCTGGTATTGTGAACCTAAGGCACGGTTTTTAATAGCTTTCGGGTTGGGGGTTCCTTACCGGATTTTATCAGCAACTCTCTTTATGTTGTTTCGCAGGGGGTCTNAAACCCCAACTATGGATTAAAAATCACTGAAAAAGTTAAGA